AGGATATAAGAATGCAAACACGTTGAAACGCGTAGAATCAGTCATTATTATTCACAGATCCACTTCATGTAAAAAGACGACTATAGCTCCTCAATTTGTTGGAGATATATGCACGAAAAGGAAAGATACGAAGAAAATGAATGGGGAATGTTTGTAGGAAGTGTTGTGTCATTTTTGCAACATCTTCCAGTGACTATGCCTGAAAAAAAAGACTGTTTCCACTGATTGTTGTTTTGAACCAAAAAAACCTTATTTCCTTCTCAGCTACCATAGTATATCAAAAACAACCATCGCTTTTTGCAAAGCTCCTTAGTTAAAATCACTATCACTTTTGTTGTCGTGTCTCTGGAGTATCGAACCTATGGTGTGGACGTAATTTATACTCGTGCATAGATCTTATTCATCAGCACACTAGCTTCCTTATATCTCTTTTTTTCGCCTGACTAATTCAACATAAATGATACTAAAAATTATCAATTTGTTTAGATGAAACCTGGTTTTATTGGAAAGCGAGAAATTAAGTGAACAAAATAGATAGTACTTACATCTAAATTTCTTCTTTTTAATTGGTGTGTGGACAGCTGTGGACAAATCAAGCAATAACGCACAGTAATAAAGTAGTACTCCTAACAATAACAATGAGAGCCCCATATACAAATATTAGGTTATACGAACATTCCAGCACCTACGTATCACTATTAATGATCCCCAAAGTACTTGCATATTTCTTGATCCTAAACAACAAAAACAGAGCTCTGCTTTATCACTTAGAGAATGAAAGGAAACCATCATTCCTAGTTAGTAGGTGTGTGTAAGAGAGACGTTGAAGTCCATACTGAGTACTTCCTAGTGGCTGGAGAAGGTATTGAACTTCAAAAAATGACGTTTAATCAATTATGCAGCGAAAAACACAGTAGAATAATTGAAATGTACTAATCAAAATGGCTATTAAAGAACTCCAATTTTTAGAGTTGGTGAAATTCGAGAAGCATTCGCGCACTTTTGCTTCAAAAGAGCGCAGATAATGAAATCCGTTCTGACTCCAAATACCAACTTCAAAACAGAATTTCGATACGAGTTTTCTGCCTGATCTATAATATAATTATTGAAATGGGTTATAGTCGTTTCCTCATTTGTTACGGCGCAAATACAGCTGCCTTCAGCACCTATAATCGCAGCTAATAGATCAACCTACGTCAACCGTTAGGTATTTGATGCCAAA